TGTATTTCTTGTGTTACATCTGTTTCTCCAGTAAAACCCTGACTGATACAGACCTAGTTAGGCTGGTGAAGCTTCAGGGACTATATGGAGAAAAATTCAGTTGTTCCAAGCAAAGACAACCCAGACCAGCATATGGCCAAGTGACTCCAAAGTATATGAGAGGCCAGGCAAGATCAGTCAGAGCTACCAGCCAGATCTTGCATGCGTGAGTGAGCTAAGCTTAGGCCAGAACAATGATCTGGTTAAGTCATAGTAAGAAGTAAATTCTTCTTATTATATAACATGTTAGGATTTCTTAGTTTAGCAATAGTTGAAGAACACAATGTTGTTTATGGAGGCAGTGCTTATTTTCTTCTTTTCTAAATCTTAGCTATTGTTGCAGACTATTAAGATACCTTTTCTTTGGTCTCAGTGTAAGTATCAAGGAAACTCTAGACAGTTCTCTCACCTTCTGTAAACAAAAAGTGTGGACTTCCATCATCAGAATTGGTGAACTGTACAATTCGGAAGAGCAAAAGCCACCTCTTCCTTTTTTAACTGCTCAGCCAGTGCATCGCCAAACACTCAGTAATTATGCTGAAAGAACGAATAAGGGCTGACAGCTATTGTTGACAAGAAGCAATACCACTAAGGGAATCCGATTCATTCTGAAAGTGTCCCACTGCTTTGGAGGAAAGATAGCCTATTCAACAAATGATGCTAAGAAAACTGGATAGCTGTTTGCAGAACACTGAAGCTGGACCTTTATCTCTCACCATGTACTAAAATAAAATCAAAATGGATCAAATATCTAACATTAAAACAGAAACACTGAACCTACTGGAAGATTAAATAGGTAAACCACTCGGAAGTGATAGGCATAGGGAAGGACTTCCTAAACAGAACTCCAACACATTAGAAATAACAGCAAGAGCCAACAAATGGGATTGCATCAAATTAGAAAGCTTCTTCACAGCAAAGGAATCAGTAGTGTGAAGAGGCAAACTACAGAATGGGAAAAAAATTTCCAGCTGTACTCAGACAGGGCACTACTATCTAAAACATATAAGGAACTCAAAAAAATAGACCACCTAAAATAAAAAGCACAATTAAGAAATGGGCAAACAAAATCAACAGACTCTTCTCAGAAGAAGTACAAATGGCCAACAAACACATGAGAAAAGTTCAACATCTCTGGTTGTTAAAGAAAGGCAAATTAAGACAACGCTAAGATTCTCTTATGACAACAATTCATGGCAATCACCAAGAAATCCAAGAATAGTAAATGATAGCAAGGCTCTGGTAAAAAGAAACCCTCTTACATGGTTGGTGGGAATGTAAACTAGCATGACCATTAAGGAAATCAGTGTGGAGATTTCCCAAAGAACTAAAATTAGAAATTCCGTATGACCCATCTATTCCCCTTCTAGGTATCTTCCCAAAAGAACTAAAAACATCACACTACAGTGATACATGCATATCACTATTTATAGCAGTACAATTCATAATGGGTAAATCCTGGAAGCAGCCTGTATGTCTATCAATTGATGAATGGATAATGTGGTATCTATTTATAACAGAATATTACTCTGCTATATAGAAGGATAAATCTGAGACATTTGTACAAAAATGGATCCACATGGAAGTATATAATGTGGAGTGAAATAAGTCACACACATAAGCTTAAATCTATATAGTGTCTCTCATTTGAGTAAGCCAAACTGGTAGGGCAAGAGACTCCATTTTCTTTTTGTAAGTCTATTTTAAAAAGTCACTTAAACTTTAGATGAACTCCCTTCTCCACTCCCTCCCTTATAGCTAACAAAAGGAGAAAAAAGCTATAAAATGAGAAACAAATAATCAAAACTAATTGTAGGTAAGCTAAAATTTAACCATACTAACAAACCCCTGGGAAATGTAAACCTTGTGACCATGATGTGGCATTTTTGTAAAATTCCTAAATGAGGTAAGGTGGTTACCATGGTTGCTTGTATAAAAACACAGTACAAAGCTCTCTGGTTGCCGACATCTTGGTTTCCGACTTTCAATCAGGGTGTTGGCCACGTGCTTTAATAAAGCTTTATTCATTCCCACATTTTTGGCTTCTCACGAGTACCTATCTCACTGAATCTTGCCATAACAAAAGTACAAACAAAGAGCATAGAAAAGGATGAATAGAAAGAATTGAGGGTATAGATCTCTTGAATATTAGAAAGGATCCCAGAGACTGAAGTTTAAAAGTAAGGGGGAGGGGAAGGGAAAGAAAAAGAATTAAGATATGCTATGTACAGGAACCTAATAACCCAAGTGAATATAAACATTATTTGTCATAAACGAGTTAAGAGTAATACTATCAATAAGAATGAAAATTGGACAGAGGGATTTAGAGGCAGAAGGAAGGAGACAGATGGGAAGGTGAATGAGATTAAAGAAACAAGTTGTATTACGTACATGTACCTACTCCCCAATGTCAGCGTGTTATGGTTTGTGTCTGGATGTCCCCCCAAAGCCTCATGCAGTCATGTGGCGGGCTCCTAGAGTTTATGATTGATTCATAGTCCAATGCTGGGATTATGGGTGAGTGCTACACCCACCCTGGGGCAGGTAGTTTGCATAGTGTAAGGGAAGAAAGAGGCTTGCTGCCCTTCCCTTTTGCTCTTGTTGCTTTTTCTGTTTTCCACCACCTTGAACTGTTACCCTCTGCCACGTGCCACTCTGCCTTGAAGGAGTATGGACTGAAACCTCCACAAACTGTGAGCTAAATAAACCTTTCCTTCCTTAGTCTGGGGTGTTGGTTATTTTGTCTCAGGAATGAGAGTAAAGTAACCAAGACAGAATGTAAACTTCATGTACTGCCAACATGTACTAACAGAAAAAGATAGTTTTAGGGACAGAGAATGTAGGTCAGTAGGCACAGTTATGTGCTAAGGATGTGTGAGACCCCACATTTGATCACCAGCATGACAACAACAATGACCCCCCAAAAGAGGAGCTTTGAAAGGCAGCCAGGAATCAAAATCACAATTTAGAAATATCAATAGGTTTATAATACCTCAGACTTGCACTTAGCAAAAATATGAGAAGGTATAATTCATCCTATAACAAAAATTTACAAGTTTCTTAGAAATAAATGTAATGTTTTTCTAGACATCTATAAACAAGACTGTAAAACTACTGAGAAGACATAGAAGAATTGCTGACCTTATGGGAAAATATTTGAAAACCCCTGGTTAGGACTCCACAATGTGGAAATGATGGTTTTCCCTAGATTAATCTGGGTATTTCACTCCAATCAAATGCCAACACATTTTTTATTGGTGCTTGAAAAGCTGATTCCAAAGTCTGTAGAGAAAACAATAAATATTTTGTTCAAAAGGAAGAGGACAGTTTTTGCTATCGTAGAAGTAAACATAACAAAAAGCTGATTTAAGGAGTATAGCATTAACACAGAGACACTTAAATATATCCAATGAAAAGTAATAGAGGATTCAAATTTATACACCCATGAACAAACTGGGATTTCTTTTTCTTTTTGTTTTTCTCCAGTACTGGGAACCGAACTCATGACCTTACGCTTGCCAGGCAGGCGCTTCTGCTGCTGAGCTAAATCCCCAACCCCTGGGATTTCATATTGTAAATGTAGAACTTCAATTTAGGAATAAAAGGATGGACTCTATGAAATAAATCAGAAACAAACGTTTAAGTATTGTGTGTTTCTCTTGTGTAATAAATCCAAAGGGTAAATAAGGACCAAAATAGATAATAGGTATTAGAAAGTAGTAAGAAAATGTTCAAATGGGAAGGGGAACAAGGGACAGGGGAGGGAATAGGGAAGGGAAGGGATGGGGGTAGAAAATAAAGAAGAATGGAAAGAAAACAATAGAAACAAAGTTTTGTAAAGGGAGAAGGGAAGGACTGAAGGGGAGGGAGGGAATGGAGAAAAAGAACTCAGATGTATTACACACAGGTGTAAATTCCCAGTGATGAATGTGATCGTTACGTATGTCAAAAGTGTACTGATAAAATTAATTTTAAAAGAAAATCAAATCTCAAGATAGATTCTCCAGTTATTAATACAGCTAGGGCCCTACCTCATATATATAAAAAGAAATTTGAAAAAGAAGAAATTTGAAGTGGATTACAGACTAAAATAAAACTGAATTTATCCAAGGAAAAATAAATATGAAAAGGTTGCTTTTACAATAAGATGAAGAAAGCTATCCTAAAAAAGGCACAAAATCCATAAAGAAAATATAAACTGATTCAATTCACTAATTTTAAAAGCTTTTATGGCAATGCTACTCAGAATTCCATGCATTTTTAAAATGGCTCACTGGGGAAAATATCTGCAAATAAAAACTTAATATTCAGAAAATATAAAGATCTTTCATAAGGAAAAGTAACCCAGCAGAAAAATACGTAAAATATATGAACAAAAGACTTAGTAGAGAAAAACTATCTTTTTTTTTGAGGCAGGGTCTTTCTATGCAGTTTAGGCAAAAATATACATTTTAAAAAGTAAATACATGAAAAGACACTTTCCAATCAAGAAAACAAAAATTGAAGCAGCAATGATAAAATTCCCTGCCATTAGAGGAACAAAACTTTAAAAGATCAGTAATACTATTTTTAGCAAAAGGAAAACATTTCATTGTCATATACTGTGTGAATGTCCACTAGTTCTGGTTTGGGTGGAAAAGGGCGAATTTGATAGAATTAGGACTGTGTTTATGGGGTGCTGCTACAGAGTCCCCAGAACACTGGTGCTGGCTAAACAAAACAGCCCACATCCACACAGAACATGCAGAATAATGCAGCATTAGAAAGGCTTTCAAGTCACAGGCTTTTAAAAATGTAGGTTTTTAAAGATACAGATATAAGATGCCATTTATTTGAACAATTGTAGTTTTTAAGGATGTTCATGTTCACTTCTGGGAGTGGAGAAGGACTGGGGGTGGGGGCAGATGTGGTTGGCATACCTCTCATGAATTTTTCTAATAAACCACAACACGCGCATAAGAAAAAAAACATCCTTTATTCCTCCATCCCCAATACAGACCAACACATAAAGGAAAAAAATCATTTCTATTTTAATTTTTAAAATTTTATCTGAAAAATACAATCCACAGCAGAGAATTATTTCCCTCCCTACTGCTCTTTCACAAAGGAAACTCTATGATAAAGGTAACTGAGATACTCGGCTAGCTATATCCTGAGAAGAGAGGCCCAGTTAGGAGGGGAAAGGATGAAGTCTGTCACAGAAGCTTCACCTCTCTTTTAACATAAAAGAGCCTTTTAAGTTATCTTAGGAATCAGACAAAACATGTGCAGAATTCCTGCCATGCAAAGAGAGACTACTGAAATTTTTCAGGTTGACCAATTTATACTAACCTGGGCCCTAAGTAAGTAGAATAAAAAGGATATGTCTTCATCAGAAAGATGTTTATATCTTTATCAGAAAGATATAATTTATTAAATGTATTTTTCATTATTCTCAGTAATAGAATCATGGTTAAAGAGTTTGTGTATTTATTTTTTTGTTTTTTGGCTAGCTTTGGCCTTACATGTATATTTCTTTTTTTCCTGGTTTTCTTTATGACAGAATCATTCACTGAATAATCTTGGATCCATGATGTTTAGAAGTATTAGAAGTGATCTTATTCTGGTCTAGGTTAAATCTGGGTAAAATCTTTTTGAAGAATTTACAACTCCTGTATTCAAACCAGGTTTAGCAAGGTACAAAGATACAACACTGACAACTAATTTATAACCAAGGCTTCCAACAGGAAAATATTTGTGCTTGGAGCCTTAGAAAGTTGATGTAGAACCAATAGAACGGATCAAACTCTAGAAGCCTTACTGGTGATTCACCCTCTTAAAGCATTATGATCATCCCCATCAGGGCCACTGCCAATAACCAAATTCCCCATTGCTGCCATTGCTTAAAACTTTAGTCTTTAAAGAGAGACAAAGCAGTCAAAGGCTTTTCATATTGTAAATTTCCAACAGAATTGAATTGCTACAGAGATTTGAAATTGGTAAGACATATGGATTTACTTTATTGTGGCCTAGTAAATATTTTAAGTCCTAGCATAGGAAATGGGCCAGTAGCATCCATTTTGGAAGTAATGAATAAATTTTGGTTATATATATATATATATATATATATATATATATATACACACTGATTTCTACTGAAATTACATAGTGAATAAAAAGTTTCCTTTCTTTTAAGGTTAGAAAAATGTGCTTCAATTGATTGCTGTATAAACCAAAGTTACTCAGGTTAGCTTTAGAGTTGGCGAGGAGAATGTTGAGGAGCTCACCAGATTCCTTTTTATGGTGACTTTCACACTTAACTCCACATGGTCACGGTAAATCACAGCCCTCGGGTCTTCTGAAGAGGGCCTGGGGTCTGGCGGTGAGGGCGGAAGGAAAAACATTTGACTTAGGCTTCGCTTTTATGAAGTCTCCACCCAGCCCCCCTTATTTACAAAAAAGATTATAAATAGGTTACTATGTCATTGTATATTTAAAAAGTGTGCATCCTTAAAAAGTAAGCATTTAAAATATATCAGTTTTTGTGACCTTATTTTGGTATTTCTGCATTTGTTGAAATGTAGGTAGTTGCCCAGGACTTAATGACCTCTCAAAAGCCTTGGTCTCCAAAATTCGCACTTTGGAAAAGACTGTAAGTTTGGGGACATAAAATCTAAATTTGGTTTTAACTCTGCCTTTTACTAGTTGTGAAGGATCAGGCGTATTGTTCCCTCATCTTGGCTTCATTTTTCTCATCTGTGAAATAAAGTCAGACTCGTAATATGTACATGGGGCCTTTGTGAGGATTACGGGAAACCGTAAAGCAAATGCATGTCAGACCATATAGTTCTACACAGATGCAAAGTCAAGTGTATTAATTATATATCTAGCAGTTATCTAATTGAACTTGTGTGTCGTGTGTCTTTCCCATTTAAATAATGCAAAATCTGATCCAGTAAAAAATGTCTAAGAATGGGGCCTACTCACCACGCTTGAGACACTGTTGTCAATGGAAAATTATTCCATAATTGGCTAGCTTTACTCATTTAATTGACCGTAAGTACTGCCAGCATTCAAAACTACAAATCAACAATTAAACCACACCTGTCAGGAGAAAAACTCCAAATAAATAATTTTTAATTATGATACATTACTTATTACAGTAAAAATTGGCATTTTCCCCTTCAAAAGCAGAAGCACCAGTCTTAGAATGTATAGTATGAATGGTATTTTAAGTGACATATAGCATAATATAATGTGCAAACATTATTTTAGTAGTATAGGACATAGTTTTTCAAAGTAATTCCACGTACTGAAATCTGTTAGAATGGGAACAATGTCATGCTGAATAATAAAATAAAAATCCCCCTGACTTCCATGGTCCACTTCAAATTAAATATGATATGCTACTGAACAGATAATATGAAAAATTAAAAAGTTTAGCCCAAAATAGTAGTTTTTCTAATAAAAGTATGACTCATGTCAAGGTTTCTTTTTATATAGTTTCAGCAATTTTTGAAAAACTCAAGTGAACATTTTATTTAAGAATTAATTTGTTCATCTGATTATCTCATTTTATTGAACACCTACTTTGTGCTAGGTTTTGTTGTAGGTGCTGGGGATACAGAAAAGAAAGACACAGTCCTGCCCTCGAGGAGCTCACAGTCTAGTGGGGGAAACAGATACATTGACATTAATTTTAAAATTATAAAAATTATTAGACAACTTTATAAACACCTTTTAAAATCAAACAAACTTTGGGTGTTATGAGTGGATGGTAAAAAGAGAAGATGTCCAATGCAGGGAAAAACCATCTGCTTCAATATCATGTGACTTCTGCAAAGGCGGTGATGTGGTTCTGTAAGAGAGAAAAGGAATTAAAAAGTCAGAGTCTTGGTAAAATTGAATTTGTCAAACATTTAGAGCCTTTACACATAACCACCAGACTAACATAAAGCTATAGCCTATGTATGTCCAAGTTGCCAGAATATATAGTATTATTTAACTAAATTTTGGGTAGTATTACATAATTTGAGCAGTTAATTAAATATTTTATTCAATACTTTCAATAAACAGAATAAATTAAAGTGTTACACCTGCTATATTCAAAATTAACACTGGAATTTGGGGAGATAAAAAGGGCAATGCCAGACATGTTAATATTCTGCTCCAGTGTTAATGGAATTTTAATGCTGCATTTTGGAGCTGCAGATTAATTGCTCCCTATGAGACAGATGGTGTAAAATGAGGAGGTGAAATGCTTAGAATGAAATGGCATTTGTTAGTTGACAAAATTCTACTTAAATACTTCATTTTTGGTGCATGAATCCAGGCTCCATAGAGGCTGCAATGTCTGCTTTTTTTTAATGCAACCACAGAATTCTTTATGAAGCCCTGGTTTCCTGTTCTTTCTTCTTAAAGCAACAAATCATATACAAAGAAATCCCACGGAGTGACTAATATTTAAGTAGATTCAGGCGTGCAATAGTCCATGTTATGACCGCTGAAATAGCACAGTGAGAAGCTGATATTACATAATTAATTGTGCCATAGAATTGCAATCTTGACATATGGGATTCTGTCAAAATCTAACGTGAGTAACAACCTCAGCAAAGAGCAGCAACAGTAGAGAAGCACTATTACACACGACCCCTCGGAATGGTCTTCCCAGCAGCTGTTGCATGGGCTCTTTATAATACAACAATATTCTAAGCAGAATTTCATATGTTGAATGTGTCATAAAGTTTCTTCAACATGCAGCTCCTTTCAAGTTGAAGTGTGTTAACTAGTTAAAGGATACTTAAAATGTGTGTATTTTAAAATGTGTGTACTAAAATGAAATTAAAATTTATTTTTACTCTACTTAGGTACATTAAACCACAACTAGGCGAATATTATTAACTGCAACTTAGGCCGTTATTGTCTAGGCTTGACTTAATACTAGAGAAAAAGAACATTAGTAAGAATCAAAAATGAGTATAATATGATTTTAACTAACTCCTGATAACTCTTTAAAAACTTTAATTTCCCATTTTAAAAAAATTTATGATGAAAACTTTGGGAAATTCAGCAACTCATCTCTAAATTTTCTTGATAGAAGCTCAGTCGGGACTTTAGGGAGAGGAAGACTTATCAGAGTTATACAATGCACTAGGATCGAATAAAAGTGATAAGAAGTCTGGAGAGAATACAATTTTGCAGAGTTACAGGGAAGTAAAATCAGTAAACTGAGAACAGACAATTCGATAAAGAGTGTTTCAGTACAAGAGTGATGTGAGAGGCATCTAAGTAGACCCAGGACAAAATAACTGCTAGAAGGATGCTAAGATAGAAACTGAAGATGAGTCAAATAGTGGTTTGGGAAGAGGTGGAGATGAAAGGAGGAGAAAAACAAAGATTAAAACAATGATAGGCTAGATGCTGCTCCAAGGACCCACTGGTGTAGGTGTCAGTGTCCCTGCTGTTGACCCCAATAATGAAGGGGCCACAGGCGCACTTAATTTCCTCAAGGTTATCTTACGTAAAGAGGAGAGAGGCAGAACTAACGTCACAAGCTACTAATAAAGCACAGAAATAAATTAGCGGAAACAAACCACTGACAAGCAATGCCAAGCTTGATAGCAGCGGAGAAAATCCACGTGCGTTAGCGCAAACTGGAGAGAGCAACACGGAAGGTGCAGAGACAGTGGCGAGTCCACGTAATTTGCTGTTTAACTGGGCATACAGGAGGGTAACCGGGATGCTAATCATAAGCAAAGACAACAGGCATAAATAAGGGCTGTCCCCCAAAGGGATTACCATATGCTGCTATTTGGGTGCAGCCTCAGAAATATGTGCTGCAATTTACCCTCAACCTAACTGGGGAAAGTGGAACCCATTGAGGTGCACAGGCCGTGAGCACTGCACCCTCAGAAGTGGCCTAAGGCCACAATGAGTGGGTTCATGACAAAAGGTCTAGTTCAGTTCCCTTGTCTCCCTTGCAAGCTCTTCCTGCTCCCTTCCTTCCTCCCTTCTTTTACCCTTAATCAGGGGATGACAGAGCTAGAGAAAGGCCTTACCAGATCTCGGCCTCCTTGATCTGAGATTTCCCAGCCTTCAGAAATGTGATACAACATATTTCTGTTAATTGTAAATTAACCAGTCTGTAGTACCCTGTTGTAGACACCTTAGCAATGATGCATTGAATACATATGTGTACGTGTTCTAGAAAATGTCAGAATTCAGTCTTGTCGTTTAATCATGTTTCAATAGCCACTAGCCTTTCATTGTCCATAAATTCCAAACAATAGCCCCCTTTTCTTTGTGACAAGTCACCAGCATAAAGTATAAGATGAATGATTTCTCTCTAAACTACACTTTTAGATCCCAGGCTCCTGAAAGGAACTCCTGTGCTTTTTTTTAAAGCGCTCTTTCCATTTCTTACCACATTACATTTCAACCTGCCAGATGGTGGCTCCTCCAATGGGAATTACAAGGAGTCCATTTGGGGCTCATCACCTGAAGGTGTTTGTGGTGAGCAGAGAGATAGATGAAAATAAACATCGCATAAGGAAGAAACAATTAAGGAGAAATTTAATAACAGGCTTAAGTACACGACTGCATAGAGAGGGTAGAGACCTTCCTTTTATCAACTTCACTGTGTACGAGCAAAAGAATCTATACTGTGAAATGAAAGAGATGGGTAACTTCTCTCAATAGGGGCTTTTACTATTTTTCTTACAACATAAAGGTGATTTCCTTGAAGGCATCTAGTTAAGAAATGAGATAATCATATAACAAGAAAATAATTATGTTATCATCTGTAAGACTATGAGTATATTATACAATGGACTTTAACAAGGTTGGTAAACGCATAATTTGAAATACATATACAGATGTAACAATTCCTATGCAAGATACTATGATGTTTCCTACTTCTGCACCATTTTGGTCAGTAACATAACAAAGCCAGAACTGCATTCAACGCTTTCAGCTTCCCTGTGTGACCACCAATGAATCTGCACGAATTCTTAATAAGCAACACTAATCTCTACTTGCAGACCACAGCACAGACAGGCAACGGGCAGCCCCAAATCTCATGCACAGGAGCAGTCATGGGATTTATCAGCACCTGGCATTCCCTCCACTGCACATGATGAGGCTTACGGCGGGGCTGGCAGAGCTACAGCCCGGGTGGCTAAAGGTTAAAACACATTACACAGAGAAAAGTTCATTCAAATCCACAGCAAACCAGTGGGCAAACTACTGAGTCTAGTCCTTGAGTGCAGGGATGCTATAGAAAAACAAGCATTTTGTTTCATAAAAGTGTTTTTGGACTTTTAAATTTGGAAAAGTCTAATGGCGATGGCATGTACATTTTCAATGTGTGATGCTCTATGTGAGTCTTTCCAATTTACTATTTATTCTATAGCTATTTATGGAAGGTGTACGCTATAGTAAGAATGTTACTTAAAACAAAATGTGATCGATTTGTGACACAAAAATTTGGCAATAATTTGCCACCTGATATAACCTGCCATTCACCACTTCCCTTTTAAAAATAGGAGAAAATTTTTTAAAAAATGGGTACTGTGGAAAAGTATTACAGCTATCAGAATTACAGCTATCAGAATTACAGCTATCAGAATTACAGCTATCAGCAAATAATCTTTAATGAGGCATTATTAGGGTCATTTAGTTAAATGGTAAATTCACACTGGATGAAAAATAAATTTGAAAGATTGGTAATAAGAATAACAACAAGAATCAAGCTATATAGCATCTAGATTCTTTTCGGGTAGAGTGGAAGCCTGCACAGAAGGACGCGCTTTTCCGTATTTGCCTTAGCTTTCCAGCCCACGCAGGTGCGCTCAAGCGCACATACGTTTATTGCCTTAATTGAAGGTGTTCACAGTGACTTATCCCCATTATCCAGTTGAACAGCCTGGCAAGACAGTCTTTAAAGGAGCTTCCTTGTGAATTTTCTTCTTGATCGTTCTCAATAAGTTGATGTTGGGGTACCTACAAAACGTGTATTACATATTATTTAAATACCGCCTTCTTCACTTAAACAAAGTACGAGCTTATTTCAAGTTCTCTATGGGTACCTTGGTAAACATTAGCATTTATGCTAATGCTAGAGAGATTAGATTCTGTTTCAATCCCATTCTCCCAGGTGACTGATTATAAAAAGGTTTTGTGTTTTAACATGAGATTGTTGAGTCAGTTTAGATTTGTAACCTCTGTAAAATGGGATCCATGCACATAATGTTAATTCAATGAGTTGTTTCACTGGCCCTGTTGGTACTGAAGCAGAATGGCAGAGTGGAATACGCAGCCCAGTAGTCCGAATGGCAAATGTCTGGATGTGGCTCCATTACAAGGAAAATTTTCCAGAAAATTTAACCTCAAGAGACAGCTTGGTCATGTGTGAAATAAAGATAATCTCACTTTAATTGACCTGTATTGAGGTTAAATGAGATTATATGCACGATGTTCTTGTCCTTCCTGAAGCATACCCACTGTTCATTTACAGTTTAGAAAAACCGTAGAAGCAAGCTAAAAGTGAAAAAGAAAGAAGAAACAGTGCAAGAGCAAGCAGACTTTTAAAAAGACTTTTTGAAATTTTATTAACAAAATTTACCAATTTTCTATTTTACCATGTCGGTAGAGGACAGTGACAGGGCCAAAGAAGAAAGAAAAGAGAGAAGGCAGAGGAAAGGGAGTCTGAACTCTAGGACCTTGCTTTGTCATGATTAAGTTTTCCTCCTAGTAGACTTCGCGATTTGTAAAAGAAAGGATGTTTAGGTCCACCGAAGAAGAAATTATCAGTGGAATTCAGATTTGGAGCTGTCAAATTTATTGTACAATTTATGGAAA